GCAAAAGACCTGCAACTGACAAATAAAGGCTGTCTCATCTCATCATCTCATGTTCGAGGATCAGCAAGTCCATTTATAAGGTACTTCCAGGAAACACAGTCAAAACAGCAAGTTCAACACTAATCCAAAACTACAGGGACCTGTCCATCCTCACAGACCTTCCCCGAAGCAATCACTCTTTTCCTTTTTAAGGAACTGTCAACAAGGATCTACACAAAAATAATGACTAATGTAAACATACAATTGGCAGCACCTCTATATCAGGTGTAACACAATTAGTACTTATGTTGGGAGAAAGTCCAGTAGAAAAAAAAAAGAAACAAAGAAAACCAACAGCTGGTTTTGTGCTGAAAACCAAGAAAGATGGAGATGGAAGATGGAGAATAATATACACCCACTCATTTAAAAGAGATGAATTCAGTGAAAGGAGTAGGTGTGTTCCTGCTCCTTCATCTTACTGAACACTGCGAAGGTGCGTTAGTAACGGCTGCACTTGTTGTGTTTTCAGAGTATTTTTCAAGTCCATTCTAAGCCTCATAATCCGCCCTATATTTGTTTCACAAGACATTTCACAAGGAAAACCCTCAGTAAGCTGTAGCTACTGCCCTGTATCTTGTAGCAAATCTCTGTCACTATAAAGCTGGGGTATTAGCTTTGGAAATACTGTAGCAGCTCATAAGCCTCAGTGTTTGTTGTGTCCACTTGATCAGAAGGCCTGGTGTCTGTATATGACTGCAGGGCCCAGACAAGAAGTCAAAACTGGTGGACTATGGGACTATGGAAGAGTTAAGCTCTAAATCTGTATTTGACTTAGAACAACAGCAATATATTTGAACAGAATACCATTGACTGGGCCCACCGATGCAATTTTGATTGCCTTTTTAAAAATTCAAAAAAACCTCCCTTCAATTCCGAGGCGAGAATGACAGGAAAGTTCAGCCGGAGCTTTATCCTGTGTTGGCACAGTGAAATGGAGTGTGGAAATAGCTCCGGCAACGTGAGTGGATCATTATATTTAACTGAAGCTGACTGCTGAACCTGACTGAATACATGAGCTGTCAAAAGACCATCACTTTACAGCACAAACATTTCTGAGATTTTTTTTTTTTAATCTTCCCAAGAGTAAAAAATTAGTAGTAAAAACATAACTTTGGATTTGGATACTTAGATTTTTCTTATTTACATGTAAATCAGCTTTTACATTTTTAATAGAAATATTCAAAGTCTTTATGCAATTAAGGAATCCGCTTACTGTACCCATAATAAAGTAAACATATCATTTAATGTTTTTTCTTTGCTTTACTGGGTACAGAATTTCCATCCTGAATACAGACTCACACATAAAATGAATCTAAAGATACTGCAGATTATCATCATTTATAGTACATTTATACACTGTATATAGAATTTATATTTGTAACAGCACTCATATAGTATATCACAGCCCAGCATGGCAGCTGTGCAAAGGTCTTGAGCCAACCCTGATGTTTTAGGGTTTCTTGAACAATAGTTCTCCAGGCTTTCTGAAGGTCTTTCAAAGTTTTTCCTTGGGCATTGCCTGCCTTTTCATTCATTTTCTGTCCCATCCACACATCTGACCATTTTCAGAAACTTTTTTTGTTTGTTAAGCCACTTAATACTGATCCAGAAATCACGTCAACCATAAAAACAGGCATCTAACTGAACGGATGAACCAGTGTTACTAGCAGTCTATTGCAAAAACCTGTATATAGATAAATCTATGAGTAAAGCAAAAGATAACAGACTCTGACAGACACAAGATAGTATTTTTGGAACAAGGTGATACTCAAAGAGCTACTGGCCAAAGACTTGGCATATCTCAGCATAGTGTGCTGTGTGTCCTTAAAAAACAGCATATGTACAGATTCAGAAAGTTGAGGGAAAATGAAAATTGATGGAATAATAAACAAAGAAAAGTATCATCAGAGTTTGATACATTATGTAATAACATCTGGAAAGTGTCTTGTTTGCAAAAGCTTCATTTTTCAGCATGACACTGATCTCAAGAACATTGACAATGCAATAAAAGCATACCTGGATAGAAAAAACACACAGTGGAACACTGTCAGTGATGAATTGACCTCCCCAGAGCCAGGACCACAACTTCATTGAAGCAGTGTGGGATCATCTTGACAGGAAATGGAACAAAAGGCAGCCGACATCCGAAGAGCTTTAAATGTCCTTCAAGAAGCCTGGAGAATGATTCCTGAAGACTACTGAAAGAAAATACAAAAAAACTGAAGACCGTGAGAAAGTACAGGTTGTGTTGAAGAATAAAGGCGCTCATATGAAATATCATTAGAATTAAAAACTTTGTTTTTGACTTATATCATTTACTTGCACGTATGTTTTCCTACCGAAATATAAAGAAATGACAGTGGTCGAGGCTTTTGCACAGAACCATATTTCTTTTTATTAAACCTCTATAAAGTGTTATTTCTATCAAACTTGTTCAGGCAAAACACAACTTTCCAAGACTATAATGCAGTTTTAGTATGTCAGTCCCTCTGATGCCATGCTGCTTCCAATTTCCATTATTTCTCACAACATTCTTTCTGGAATTAAAATATAGATTAACTCTCTCTCCATTCATCGCTCGAGTCTTACAAATATCATAAAAAATTAATTCATAACATTGCCTATTTCAGCTTTGTGAAAATTGATAACGTGCTTCTGCATATCTATCGCCATAACCGCTCTCTCTTTCCTCCAGACATAAATCTCAGATGCAGGTCTTTGTGTCTACCACAAAACGCGGTCACTTTTTCTGTGTACCAAGAAGTGTTTGTGTCTTGAGGAGTTATAAAAGCATCAAAATGAAAGCATGTGACATGTTTATCTTCCAGCAGCTGGTGAAGTGAAAGAAGACAAGTGCTTGAGGCAAGCAGTACCAGGCACATGCTACCCAATGAACCACCTCTAAAAGGAGACAGTGCATCCTTTTTAAGCTTTCTCTGGTAATACAATGTTATTTAAGGATTGCTTTGTATAGAATCATCACAGATAAATAAACTGTATAGCACATTAAAAGGCATGTTTGGAGTAGATTTACCTTGCTGTCAGAAAAAAAGGGAAAAAAATATGTAAGGCATGCTGTCTAATGCTGTGAACAGGTAGGCACCAAACAAAGGCATACATCAAGACTGGAAGTAGCTTCCCACTCACTCATTCTCACCTCATTTCAAACTTCACTTTAATGAGCTGCACGAGGTTCTGCATACCTTACATATCATGCACAAAGTCGAGTCTAATGTAATGTTAATGCACAGGAAGACAACATGTTAGGCCACGATTAGCTATAGTGAGGTGTCGACTGCAGAGTAAGTAGGTTAGACCTCCTGGGGCCCTAAAGACACAGTCTGGCTTCAAACTTCCAAAAGAATTATGACAGAGTTGCAACATCTGCTGCCTGAGAGGAAGACAGACAGTGATGGATAGCCAGGTGTTCTGTGTGTATGTGTGTGTGTGTGTGTGTGTGTGTGAGCGTACACACACTGCCCACACGCTGCACACATATGTATAACCCAGGAGACCAAACCTGCATAGAGTGTGTGCAAATCCACATTTACCTACAAGAAGACTGGCTGAGGGACCAGTTAAATAAGCAATGCACACATCTGTGACGAATGGCAATTTCTATTTAATACGACTCACTAATAGACACTGTGCCAAACCCACAAGCATGTTGGCGCATGCAAGGCTGCGTGCAACACACAGACACTGTGAAAATATAGTAGCATGTTTATGATGGTGGATTGCTTATTATCTATCAACAACTTCCATATGAATGCATTTTCAGCCGGATAAATAATCCCATCAGAAGAGATGAAGATTAATGATATATTTATCATCCAGTGACAAGAGCTCCACGCTACACAAAGATCAGTATCGAGATGCCAAATTGTACTTGATGAGATTACAGAACACTAGGAAATAAAATGTTACTATTACACTGTCAAAAATATTAATATCATATCAAGAAATGGCATTTATAGCATAGTTTGTATATATAAACTTTCAAAGATGAGCAAATATCTCTGTTGTGGATATATAAATGTTCACACGAGAAGACAAAAAGAACTACTTCTTATCCAAACATCATATTTATCATGCATGAAAAACACGCTTTCCAATCCGTGAGTCTGAAGAATAATGTGTCATCAACAGTAGTAATAATAATGTCACCATGTTTATAGTAATCTGTATCATCACTCATGATAAACAACATATTGAGTATAAATCAATGAAGTATATCTAAATATCTTAACAGGCAGCAGCATGATTGACAGGCTAATCTAACTCAAAGTGTTTGGCTTCGACATATCCTGTCTGTGTACTGAAAAAAGCAACAAACGTGGTTTTGTGGTTTTTATAGTGTCAGAATACAAGCTTGTATTTTAAGTTATGTACTTTCACATATTCTTCAACCTTTTCTTCTCATTTTTTAATCTAATGCTTACAAAATCTTACTCTTACAAAGATGGATTACTTCATTTAGGTGCCAGAAATCAAAATCCCTTTAAAGCTATCCCTCCATGTTTGCATTTCCTTCCTCTTCCACTCCTGGTTTGGGGCTGGGTGAAGGAGATAGGCTGGGTGCTGCAGGTGTCCTGCGCCCAGTGGGGATTGGGGGCAGGATGGGCTTAACGTTGGACCCTGGGCGTCGATCAGAGCATGGGGACACAGCTGCAGCTAGTTGATCTGCTCCTGGATGTGGGTCATTAGGTATTTGGCTGGATGGAACGTGGTCTGAAATCAATAATCAATCAACAATCTTTAGAAGTTCAGCAAGCCAACTTTATTATTTTATCATTAGATTTTCTGTTTTTCCCACAGACAGTAAACAAACCTGTTATAACCTGTCACAATTATTTCCAGCTCTATTTTTGTCTCTTTAAGCTTGCTTTGTTTTGATTGGCTGCCCCTCACCTAGCTTCCAAAAAAAGACCCCACTGCTTGAAAGCCCTGTCACCTAATTTCAGACACAGCTCTTTCAGGTTAGTCATTATTTGACTAGAATACAAAGAAATTTGTGTCGAAGTCACACCAGCTCAGAAAACGATTAGAAAAACAGCTGTTGAGAGCAGTCTGAAGCCTGAGCTGTTAGCTCATCAGAATTACATTTAGAAACACTGAACTCTTTATTCAAAACGTTAGCTACATTTAATATGAACATCTAATGCAAAAGCACATTTATAACAAAAAGCACATAAGGAACCTTTTAATCTCTATAATGAATGATTTTACCCAAAACCATTCATTATAGAGATTAATACAGCAAAATATTAAAAGATTATATTTTATTTAAAATGTTCCTTTAGAATAATTTTCATATTAAACCACCACTTCCTTGGCTTCTATAAATATAAAAAATAATTTCTTTCCATATAGAACATAAATAGATACAGACATATAAACACATCAGATAAAAATATTACTTAGTAACCTTGAAGTGTTTCCGAAGCATGTCCCATGACTGAGACATGTAGCGGTTCTGCTAAGCCAGAGAAGGCGCCGGCTGAACTGGGCACTGACAAAGCTGAGCTGGCACGAGAATCATCCGAGCTGTTTGTCAAATGCAAAAAGGGACAAGAAGGGAAGACAAAAACACAGAGACAGACAAGCAGTGGAAAGGAAGTTCACATAGTGGCAGGTGTAATGGGGGCTACAACACAAACATATGGTTGTTACACAGATAATAAAACAAAAAGTGAAATGACACAAATGAAATGGGTAGAAGAGCTTCAAAAAGAAAGCCAGGCAGAATGTGATGCAAACCACTGCTGCAGAGACTGACAGTATTCATCAGTAATATCAATAATGCAAAAATAAGTACTCGGGTACAGATTTTCCATTTACCTAGAAGCTATACAATGTGTATGTATACAAATGCATACGCAAGACTACACAGTCACTACACAATAACAACATGGGAAATAAGCACACACAGGTAAAGACACATCCCTATTAAGAGCAGTGCCAACAAGGAGACAGATGTCTGGAATCCTGCATAGAATTACTGAGCGAGTGAGTAATGCCTACTGTACACACTGGAGGCATGTATTACTCACACCGCGATGACAGAACTTGCAGATTTTCAACAAGTCTGATGAAACCTGCCTTCTGAAGACGAGGGCCCGAAGGGAACAAATTAATTTTGACAGCACAGGTTTCTATGCATGTATCTTAAATGACATCTTTTTTTTTGGACGAACTAAATTGATAGCTCCCATTTGCGTGCACATCACACATATTATGGGGTACCTGATTAAATACTTATTTGCGCAGTACACAGGTTTATTGAGTGTAAGTGTACACACAGGGGAGTTAAATAGCAGCAGAGGCAATAAAATCAGAATTTATGAGTGGGTGTATTTGTGTGTGTGTGTCTATGCGTGTGTGGGATGTGTGTTCAGATTTTTACCAGCATGGCTTAAACCTGTAAACTGAGCTGGATAAAAAAACACAAGTAATGTCGTAAAAACAGGCTTTGGGAGTCAAGAGTACCGCCGCTAAGGCCATTTGCTGCTCCTTAATCTTTAGCTCACGGTTGTTTTTAATAAAACTGTAAGACTTCCTCTGGCTTCTCTCACGTCAAAATAAATCAATAAGCCATTTTTATGAATTTACCGATCATGCGCCGAGTGAAATCATATCTAACTTAGATCACTGTATCTGTTATTTTCATACAGTAACATCTGGCCTCACTTGTACTTACCCACTGTCCTCATGAAAAAGGTTACCAGAATCATCATTATGCACAGATGACGCCGCTGGTTGAGCAGAACTGAGGAAAACAAAAAGTAAGTAATGATTCAGTGTTTTTCTTCGCCACCATAAGTTCACACACATTACCTTGCTAAATAGTCCGCATGAATAAAATATGCAGCCAATCATTCATATCTGGCAACAGGTGTACTTTAGGACAAGTGAAGTGAGTGGAGTGCACCTCTAACAAGAACCCATCACGTTAACAAACGGTTAGATTCAAATTATTTGGGCCCCTGCCACTTCACCCTCAATGTCAAACAATGACTCAAAACAAACCATCAAAGTACAGTTGGGACAAGTGGTCTAATTAAACCAATTTGGCCCAGCTCAAAGTGCCCACTTGATATTAAGTAATGGAGTGCAGTGGAGTGCATGCTGCTTGTTTGTACCTTTTGAAGAGCTGGCTGTAAACCCCTGGACTCTTCCCCACTATAGCCTCCCTCACCAGCTGCTCACGCCTCCTGATGGAAGCTAGCTCCTGGAGAACGGAGATGCAAAGAGGGCACAGAAAAGTTGGTGGGTGGAGCGATTAAAAAGCAGAGCAGGAGGGGAGAAAAAAACATGTAAGAAACAAATATAATATTCACAAATTAGAATAATTTACTTGTAGACTTCATTATCAATACATTTATCATTAGACATCCTGTAACTCACAGTGGAGCTCTTCTGAGGTTGGAGCTCGTCTTGGATCTTGGTAAAATATGATCTGTAGGAGATATCAGAGGGGTCCAAAGCTTTGGCTGAGTGTGATGCGAGTGTCGATCCTGACATTGACACAGGCGACAGTGGCTTCTCTTCTGGATTATGACCTACAAGAAACAGATACTGTCTATATCTGAAGTTTTAAACAGCATGAAACAGAGCTTCTAGACATTATCTAAACCATCTCAACCCTGCCTCTCTAAATTTGTCTCCAAACTACTCAACCTGAGCTGTCTCTCTGATATACTCATTTCCTGTCCATGTTGTAATTTATAACCCCATTTGTATTTTAGGGGACACTCCATGATTTAGCAATTATACTTTATAAACCTGAGGGAAAGTATGACAATAACAACTGAAATTAATAGCGCTGTGTGAGACCCCTCACATCTTTTAAATTCCTTATTCCTCTGATTTCTAACACAGGTTAATTTCTGGTTAATTGCTTCAGGATTATTATTTTCAGACTTTAAAAAACTTCTTCTCAACCAATGATATTATTATCCTGCAGTTTTTCAGTAATACTTCCTGTCCAATGAAAATTAACTTAATTAACACATGCCAAATTGGTTGAGTGCTCCTTTAAATAATAAAAAAAAAACAAGCAAACAAAACAAAACCAAGACACAAATTAATTAACTAAACTTTACCTTTGTGTTGCTTTACAAAACTGGTGTTGTGACACTTTGGACCTGCTAATGATGATGTTAATAAACAAACACATAGACACCTGTGGAGGTGTTGTCAGGGGATGCTCTGTTGTTGTTCTCTCCCTCCTCCTGCTCCTCTAGCAACAGGTACTCCTTCACTGCCTGCCTCAGTGTCTTGTAGGCATCCTCCCAGTCATCTACTCACACACACACACAGGCACACAGATACACACACACACAAAGAAATCTGGTGCTCAACAGAGCCAACGCATCTCCCCATCAAACAGTAATAGATCAAAAGATAAGGGGACGACGACCTTAGTGTAATGAGGCGCAGGCTGGCAGTGAATAAAAGTGATGAGTGCCCGCACTCTCTGTATGTTCATCTCATTAAGAACACCCCTAACATGTCTGAATGCTTTCATGAGGGAATGATAAACACAGCTATTCTGCGGTTACGTGCCTTTAATACATGTGGTAATTGGATTGAAAGTGTAGTTTATGGATTTTAGTGGAGTGTGCTAATCCATCTAATGCTATATCAATGATAGCTGGACTGCAGTAAGCCAGGGCATTTTCAATCTTTGTGAGACACTATAATGATGAACAGAGCAATCACACCAAAGGCTATTGGTGGTGCATTGTCACAGTGTAAAGTCTTTTGTGGTATCAGAGAAGAATGATTGCTGCTTTGCTGTAACTAATGGGGATCATAACAAACTAAACTCAACTTCAAATTTTCTGTATTGAAATGGGCTGAAAATGTAGAAACATCTAAATATTTCCTCTGGGAATCAGTTAACTGGAATCATAGCTTCAAATTGATACCCATTGAAAATTAATTGTGAATATTTGGAACACTTTGTACTGCAACAGCTAATTATTATAATACATCTGATTAACCACTGGATAATATTAAAACCCCCATAAAGCAATAAAAAAAACATAGTACCACAGGGAATAACATTATCGAAGAATCCTGGATGTTGCCTGTTGGTGTTGGCGTAGAGCTCTATACGTGACACTGCTGCATCCATTTGTGCATGGGTGTAGAGTCCACGGGCTTTAAGGTGGCCTATGTACTTTTCAGCCTGGGTGGGAATGAGCAGGATGTATCGAGGCTCAAAGTAGGTCTTTTTTAGACTGAAAACACCCTGAAAGAAGAGACAAAATGCCTGCAGATATCCTGCTTTTAACACTCTTATACATGAGCTTTCCTTTCACATACCTCCAGCTCCATATGCACGCAACAGGCCAATCCTTCTCTAGCCGCATCCTCTACAGCATCTCTGGTAAGTCCGTAACTATGCCCCCCATACTGGATGGTCTGGATAAACTTACCCTGAAAGAACATTTCCCAGTGCAAGAGAAGAGAATGAGAGAACATTTTATTGCCTCTCTATTCATCACGTTATTGCAACAGTTATGAGCTCCTAAAATGGGACATATTTGACATACATGCACAATCCCAGCATGTTCTGTCAGGGTTAACAACCTGTAGCCATTATTCCACCTGTGAACTGAACCTGCCCTGACCTGGCAGGGAAAAATAAATAAATCTTTTTGTTACTTTTCACACATGACCTGACCTTATTGATACTGTTTAGTGGTTGGAAAAACTGATAAACAAATTGTTCCGGCTCTAATATAAATTATATATGAGGTTACTTATTTCTATGTTTTAACTCATTTTATGATGCTTATGTTGACTAATTAAATGCATGACATTTAAAGTCACATTCACTGACTTTTTAAAATCTGCAATAAAAGCAGCAAACTGTCAAATAAACAACCACATGTGCAGCCATTAGCAGTAAACAGAATGGACTCAAAAGTTAATGTCCTCTTTACCTTTCAGCGCTGCATAGAGTATGAAATACATATATTAAAGCTACATTAAGCAACAACACTGTTATATGACTTATATAACATGTACAGCACTTCTTCCAAATCAAGTCTCACTTGTCCCCTTTCCTAAATAAAGCATCTCAAAACAGTAATTAAAAATATGATTACTGGGGTCAATTTTGTAAGAAGGTATGACAGTAAAGCTGCAAGAAAGCACATTTGAGGACTGAAGAGAGAACTAACACAAGAGAAGTAAGAGTAAAAGAAGTAAAAAAAAAAGACAAAAACAAGCAAGAAAAGGAGGGCCAGATAAACCACATAGCTGGCAAAAGAAGACTGGTGGGAGGGGAAGAATGGACAAATCAAATAGAGGGAGGAACAGACTGAAAAGTTAACCTCTGTTCAAGAAGACAAAAGGCATCAATATCAGCATCAAAGCGCTTCCTGTGTAAATCACTACCTGACCCAGACCTCTATAAATAATCCCCCACCTCTCTTGCATAACAGGCAGCTTGGCAAGAGAGACAGATGGAAAAGAAATGTGCCCCAAAACCCCAACGACTCCACTTTTCTCTGGCTAAGAGAACTATAACTTGTGTATTTAATGAGAGCCATTTGTGGATCCCTCCTGAGGGTGTTTTAAAGTTTTGACCAGTGTCTACTCATTGATGGCTTTCCTTTGATTAGCTTTCACATTTTTGTAAGCCTAAATTGAGTTATAGGAGATGCTGTAATAGTACATTCTGAAATAAAATTTAATTAACATGTCTATTATACGTTTTCAAAAATGTTCCATTCAACCAACATTTCCACTAAATTATTTTACACAAAAATGTCAGCCAGTTAAACTAAAATCATTCAGCCAAATCAAACTAATTAACACAACTTACTCAACTCATTAAAGCCAATGAAAGAAGTCAATTTGAATGTGACTTCAGCACTAAAGTAAGTCCAAGAAGATTTAATTATGCTGTGGGTATGATTTAAAACACTAAGCACATAAAACTATTCCGAGTACACTCGAAATAGCTCAAAATAACTTCAAGCTAACTCACCGTGTGAATCATACTCTGAAACGCCTCCTCACTGACAAAATGGTAATCAAGTCCATTCTCTTCTCCGAAGTACGGCCCCCTTGTGGTGTGAGAGATTCTGCAGTGACAAAAACAAATTAGAGAAACAGTTGCATAGTTAAGTCAGCTAGTAACAGAAAAATGAGCTGTGACAAAACCTCTGGCTTTTCAGTCTGTCTCAGACTGTCAAAGTGACTAAAAGTGAGAGCCAGAAATATGTCTTCTGCATGAAACTTCAGTCACTTCAATATATCAGTGTAAAAAATGTTCTGAAGTTCAGCCAAAGCTACCCATAGCAGTCTGTATTTGACAGTTGACTCTCAATAATATAAGAATAAAATATTTTGGTAGATCATATAAAGTTAAAGGACCCACTGTGTCGTCAGATGTTTAATTCATAGTATTTTTGCAATTTCAAATGTATTACAAAACAAGCACTACTAATGGGCACTAGCTCTGAGAGCTCAGCATATGAATTATTACTATGTGTGCAGACGTTTTAAGACTGACCCATAAGCAAAGTATTCGTTGAACTCTTGACACAGTCTGTGAGTCAGCTCTCTCTTCCCACAGCCTCGAGGACCTGTGAGCACCAGCATGGGGTAGGGAGAGTCTGCACTGGGAAGTGTACTGCTTGGAGACAGACATACACACACGAAGCATTCAGGGTTTTTACTTTAATTTTACACGCCCGCTCTTAGCTTCAAAACCAGTTATCTCCCTCTTCCAAAAATGAGCACTGCTTAAGTATAAAAAGCCACAAAGCAAGAGTCACTCCTACAGTCAATATAAACGCAAGCCTCGTGGGCAGTATGGATGTGCTCCTTCTGGTAAGCACAGAGGAGAATGGCAAATTGACTGTAGCTGCAGCTTTTATTTGCTGATGATCGATTTTTTCTAAAAGTGCTGATACTTGATTTTTTTTTTTTCTTTTAGAGTGTAGATAAACAGGAGCACTGCGGATAAATTGCTCCTCAAGCAAACAACTTTCTTGATATTTTATTTTACAAGATACGTATTGATTGTGGCTAATCATAATCTCTGGATTGTTCTGAAACCTTTGCTAGTAGTGCACTTCCTAAATGCTACAGGCTCTTGCTTGTATGCCAGTAATAATTGTTAATTAATAAACTTATTAATGTTACACGAACTGGTGACCATGTAGTGCTGAGGATATTAAATAAATGTCAATGTGAACCTTTCATAAAGGACCTGGGGCTGCATCAGCTGATACACTAGGTGGGTTATGTGATCCCTGGCTGCCACCACATCCATAGGAGGGTCATACATGTTTACTGACGACACCTGGGAATTAGAATTAACAATCACAGAAGCAGTTCACACAGACTTTAAAACATTAGGTGAATACATTAGGTTTGTATTATTCATTGCGACAAAAAAAAAAAGCTTCCGATAGATTAAACATGTATTTACAGTTTAGTGAACCAAACAGTATTATCTGTTTTGTCTGTTCACACCTTTTCTTCAACAGTGACTGCCTCTCGGTCCAGCACAGTCAGATGCTGAAGGAGGAAGATGACTGCCAGCTTGTAATCAGGTTGCTCCTACCAATTACATTCACACAAGCACATACAGTCAGCAAAGTTGCCTGGCAAAACAGCTTTAGAAAAACAGGAAAGAAGACCTCTGTCATTAACAGCACATTTAAACACATTTAATAGATTATCTCATAGTTAAAATCCTGTTGTAAGTAAAGGGTATAGTTACCTGCACAGGGTTTTCCACCAAACTGAGGTCCCTCAACAGTAAAAGGTCGTGAATATGCTTGCACTCTTGAATTTCACTGACCTGTGAAAAGTTTACTCAGACAGTTCATACAGTCTATTAGTTTCTTTTGAAAGGCCTTTTTAGCCATGAAGTTAAATTCTTGACCTTATCTATGATTAAGGTATTTTCCGATTTTGTTATATCTTATTAAAATCTGTAATGATGGCTTAAAGTACTGAAATGTATTCTGGAAACAGCATTAAACAGCCTACCAATCACACATCTTATCAGACAATGAGTCTGTGATACTTCATCTTAGAATTGAATCTAAAAAGTCTATTTGTTTTTGAATATGAAGCTCAAGAATTAGTAACTGCCTATGAGCATGTGATGCTATTGCTGATATATGCACATCACACGTTTAATTCTGAAGACTCTCTCAGATCAATACCAGGTTTTTCTCCAGGTTGAGGGAGCCTAGCAGATGGAGGTTCTCGAGGCCTGAAAGACTGGTGATGCGATTCTGAGATAAATCGAGAACCTGCAGGCTCTTCAGGTGCTCTAACCCTTCAATTTTCTCCAGATGGTTCCCCCTCTGCTCATAGAAAGGAAAAGAAAAAAAACATGATAACATGAAGTTCATTCATATGCCTCTGTCCAAGTGTTCTTATTCAAATAAACTCAGTGACTGTCTCCAATAAATATTAAGGAGAGGTCATGGTTGTTCTGAAGGGTGCGTGAACTTTCTTTCCCATCAGCGCAGAGCTGAGCGGCAGGCCTGCCTCTTCTGACAGGTGAGGACTGACAGCTAAACAGCTGGCCTGGCGATAGCCCAGCACACCAGCTAACTGAAGAACAAGACCTGGGCACACCTCCCTTGTCTGGGTCCCCAGTCTGATTCTCACTCCATTCCACTGACAAAAGTTGTTATCTAGCCGTCTGGCCACACCTCTGCCTACTCTTGCCAAGCATGTTGCCTGGCAGAGGGCTGCTGTCAGCAGGGGTGGGTGACTGTGCTGCTCCCTTGAAGCTCTGGGTCACTGCTGTGATGGGCTGCGTAACAGGCTGGCTGACAATGCCATGCTGTTTTGGGAGGCAGCATGTGAGGAAGAGGGGTCAGTAAAGGGATGAGATGGATGCTGGATGGGCAGGGTCTGCTTGAGTGTGTGAGTGTGTGTGTGTCTGCTGAAACTGGTCCAGCCTCACTCTAAACACCAGCAGCTGGTCCCAAAGCAAATCTACAGAGAGGGGCAGGCGCAGCCAGGCCGATGGGCTGCTGACAATGAGGAAACACTGATAAAGGACACGTGTGCACACATGCAAGCAGAAAAAGAGGCAGAGAGTTAGAGAGAGAGAAAGGGCCTGCTGTTGGACCATATGGTGATTCTCGAACAAGAGGCCAAGGTTTTACTGAATATAAAAGCGAGGCCAAAAACAGAGACATAAAGAGAACACATAGGGAGAGAGAAAAGAGGAAAAAAGAAACAGGTGAAACGGAGCATACATGTGTAAAATATACACTAGCAACAATGTGTGCACGACAGCAGGTAATCTCATACATGTAAACAGAAGTACTGCCAAAAGAGCAAAGGAAAACACAAGAGTTCAGTTTAAAATGCATATTTATAAAATATCTACATATGAAGTTCCATCTTTTATATATAGAGAAGAACCTACAAGGCAGAGGTGTGTGAGAGGCAAACCACCCAGGCCACTGATCCTCGAGATCTTGTTATGTGCAAGGCTGAGATGGGTGAGCCTGCAACATTGCTCAAGACCACTGATCTCACTAAAGCTGTTGTCTGAGTAGAGGCATGTTAAGAATAATACACAACAGGAAAAATATGCAGTTCACAAATCTTTTTTTTATATATACATCACAGAGCATGTGTCTGAGAGAGAATGTTTTGCAGTGAGGATACAGTCTAGAACCAGTTTAGTTAGCGATGCATAGGCTGACAAATCCCTCATTTTAGTCATACGGTTGTGGGAGAAGTTCACCTCCTAAAAATAGCAGCATACTGTTAATAAAAGTCAAAAAAGTTTCAGGACATCTTAGTGAAGAAATCCTTCCACTAAATCCACAGAGTATGGAAAATAATTTACTAAAGTTCACTGTCATTCAAGGGCAGTAAATGCCTTGTAAGCATATTCTAACCGACTACAGATGGGCTATGGAAATCCAGCCCTATCTTGAGGGAATAGTGCTTGAGAGTGGAGCCCAAGCCACCACTCAAATGTTGTCTTATCCTGTCAGCTCAAGGACCACCCGTGTTACCTTTAGGTTCTTGGGTGGCTGGAATTCAAAGAAGTTTGAGATTTCATTATAGGAAGCGTCCAGCACGACAAGGTAGGGCATGTGGCTCACGCAGGATAAATCTATGAGTTGGGGAAAGTTATGAAAATTGATAAAAAAACAACAAAGACAGCAAATATTTACATGCAAATAAATGTGCTTTAATCACATCATGGTATGGCATTTTATGAATGATGTCACTGTGTAACAGGAAGTTAATATTGGCATAAGAAAAAAGTCACCTTGAATTTTGTTGTGTGGCAGTTCCAGCTTTTGAAGATGGACATAACTACACAGCACAGATATGTCGCTGAGACTGTGACTCTAGAGCAAAGAATACAAAATTAATTTAACCTAATTTTGGCTTGAAATTAAACTATGCTGCTTAATTTAAGGGAAAATTAAGGGGATGATTGATCATTAAAGTATGCAAAGTATCACAAAGTCAGTTAAAGTTCAGTATTTACAGTTAGGGAGCACAAACCATTGTAAATCTATTTCAGCTGCTTTGGTGCAAATGAAATTGACCACAGGTGCACTGGAGAGGCAACAACGAGGCAATCCCCAAAAAGGGAATGATTTTGCAGATGGTGGCCACAGACCATTACTCCATCTTTATTCTTCCTGAATGATTTGTCTCTAGTTTTGCTGTTTGCCAGTGTCCTTGTCATGAGTGTTAGGATAAGACATCTGCAGTGCATTCATATTTCAAAGCTCCTCCAGGATGGAGGAAAAGATTTGCTGTGTCTCCCAGCACTTAAAAGTGTAGAAGAGAAACCCGGAGACTGGCCACTACCCAAGGAGAGCTGGACAGGGCAAAAGGAGGGCATAAACATAATATGGAGCACTGTAACAAAAAAATAATTTCCCCCAGGGATCAATAAAGTATTCTGATTCTGATTCTGATTAAACACAGCAAGAGGACCAGTTTTTGCTTCTTTGTGCAAGAAAGAAAAGAAGGTGCACTGCCAGATCCTTACAAAATTACTTCCAGCGGGCTACTCATGTGCATGTTTCTGACCAAACTGTTAGACATCACATGAGGTTCCAGCATCCTTTAGAGGGACCCATGCTTTCAGTCCACCACCATGCAGCTCAACTGGACTTTGCCAGACAACACTGGCAGGTCCACCACTGGCGCCTTGTTCTCCTCACAGATGAGAGCAGGTTCACACTGGGCATGTAACAGTCTAGTTGTGGCCTCTCCAGTGCACTTGTTGTCCCATTCATTTGCACCAACAGAGATGAAACTGATTCACAATGGTTTATAATTCCTAGCTGGACAGATTCATATCCCTTAAGTTTAACTAACTTGTGCTATATTGTCATGATCAAGTGTGCTCTTATTTTATAACTGTCAGCAAAAGATCATGACTCAGTGTCAAACCATTACTAAAGCCTCGGTCTTCATTAAACAGCCAGTAACATGGATGAATGAATTAAGATGTGTATCTCACAGGCAGAGAAAGGATGTAGAATGAGTGCTGGAGCCCAGTGCCAAAGCGTCCGAGTTGAAATATACTATTTGAAATCATCTCAGCTGTTAAAACACCATCCTTCTGTAAATAAGATAAATAAGTAAGTAAGCTTTAATTAAAATAGTGAACCCAGCAGGTACAGAATTACAGAGTGCCATAAAAGTAAAGATAACATCATGCATTTGACAAGAGGCTACTGAAAACAGGACCAAGTCCTGAGAGCTTAAAAGCAAAAGCGCACATATTCATGCAGCACACACACACACAGACACACACAAATAGACTCTGCTTAGCTCCGTTGTTGATGCAGCTACCACAAATTCCAAGCATTCAACTATTTGACCTTGCTGTGCTGTTTTATTTTCCCAGACCTCTTGTACAAGGACATCTGCTTTACCTGTTGCACAGTGACAGAAACACGAGGATTTATTCAACCTGCGCAATGAACTTGTTTCTGCTTCGGCGCAATGACACACGCTCAGCCACATTTTTGTTATGAAAACCATAAAATTGCAATAATTGAATATAATAGGTTTCACACTATATGTTGCTTTAAAAAAAAGTTTTTACTAGTTGACATAGCCTCCTAGCCTTACCTCCATCCCTCCGTTTTCCTCCAGCTCAGTGCAGGTGGGGGTCTCTGCTGAAGCAGCGTCATTGGGGGACCCTGGGGGGCAGGAGCTTAGCGACGCGGAAGGAAACTGTTCGCCGGTTTTTCCATTCATTATTTCATTAAAAGAAAAAACTCGACGACAGACTAACTTGTTAGCAGTCAAAGGGAAGACGTTTACAGTTTAAAAGAACTCTAGCTAGCTAGTTTTTCACATGAAAGGTCCACTGGCGTTGCTAGGCAACGCTGACAAGTTTGAAGTGAATGGCATTATGGGTCCTGTAGTTTCAACCGAGCGTTAACGTCTGCTCGTTCATACTTTTTGCGTACAAGAGAAAAAAAACAGCCTAATTTAAAGATCAAACA